ACCTCTATACATCTTGTGAGTCTTACTAGTCGTTATAGTTAGATTTGTTCATCTTTGTATACGCTATCAGCTGTGCCTTGTTCTCTTTCAGCCTTTGTACGTTAGGTTACTCCATCCCACGGGAACCAATAGAAATCCCTCATTAAAAAACCAGAGGACGCAATTCTCCTGTTGAAGCAGTGGAAGTTTTTCCATGAAAGTAATGTCTTAGTTTATTCAAATCCCAGCACAAAATGGAGACCGGATTGGTTCGAGATAAAATCGTGCACATTGGGCCGGGCTATACTTATAATGAATGAACTTATAAGGTGTGGGTCCCACATGGGTCCCATGCAAAAGTACTAGTGTTCACTCATGTACTATTTTAATATATTTATATTTATAATATAAATAAACATTAATTTTTTGACATTAACTTATTTATAATATAAATAAATACATTTATAATTGATTTTTATAATATATTTCTATTTATAGTATTTATAATATTAATTTATCTATATTTTTAATGTTTTTAATATACTTAATATTAATCTATTTATAACTTTTCATACTAATTATTTATAATCAACTTGAGTCGAGCTGAGCTTGAATAGGTCGCAAGTATCAACTTGAATCGAGTTTCTGAGTCGAGCTCAAATCAAATTTTGAGCTCTGTGTTTCTGAGTAGACCTCAAGGCTCAAACAACTAGAACTATCAAATCAAATTTAGATAGTCAAATGTTTGTTCAACCTAACCTATTTACATTTTAGGGTAAATTGATCTAATCAAAAGGGAAAATTTCCAATTAGTACCCTGTACTTTGTGCCTACTGCCACTTTAGTCCCCAAACTTTAAAACATAATAATTTAGCACTGGAACTTTTAAAATGTGCCAATCTAGTACCAGCCATTAAGTAGCATTTGAAAAGACACAAATTCCCTTTGAGAGTCATCTAATTTTTTTTATTAACCATCCAAACGTTGATAAAAAATGAACAGTCCCAAATCCTTTTCTTTTCTATTCAAGAAAATTGGGGTCATGTCTCATGGTTATTCTGGTGAACCCAACTTTATTGAATAGAAGATGAAAGGATTTGTGACTGTTCATTTTTTTGTCAAGGTTTGAATCATTAATAAAGAAAATTAGATGACACTTGAAGGACATTTGTGTATTTTTAAAGGCCACTTAATGGCTGGTTAATGGTAGGTACTAAATTAGCACATTTTGAAAACTCGGATCCTAGATTGTCGCATTTTCAAATTTGGGGACCAAAATGGCATTAAGACCCAAATTACAGGGTATTAATCGAAAATTTTCCCTAATTAAAATTCCAACTTCCAAGCTCGATATGTTATAAATCACCTAATCAATAGACCACTTAATAATAAGGGGAAATTTATGCCTTTAATTATTAACCTGTGAGTGTCACGACCAGCAAAGAAACTAATTATCCCAGTTTGTTAATAACATAAAATCTTTAGTCTTCATTTAATACCTCAGTAAAATGCTCTATTTCATTTTTTTTTTGTTTTTTTCAAGAGGATCAAAATAATTGAGTGCCATATTGTCATTCTATTATACTTGAATAATAAATGAAACACGTTTTGGTACCTAATCAAAGCCAAAATGGTATATGAGGAATGAAAGATCCTAATAATGACCATTATGACATTCAGATAAGGCATTGAAATAGTTCTTTATCATGTGGGTCACCTTTTATGTATGACACTTGAAAAAAAAAACTTCTACATACATATGAATAAAAAATAATTTTAGTACTTTTATGGGACTTACTGCAGTTTTTATCTAAATTATATTTAGGTTTGCCTAAAAATCTAAATTATATACAGTATTTATTACTTTTTTTTGAGAAAGTATACTATTTATTACTCACATTTAGTATATCCGAATCCCTATATGTTCATAAACATGTGATTCAGTTTGAAAATAGCCTAGCTATTAGTAACATGGCAGAAGTTGAAGTTGTAATCTCTCTCTCTCTTCTTTCCTATACCTTGAATTTAATACTAAACCTTTAATCTTGAAAGCATAAGGACATTTTTTTTATCTCCTATAAAGTGTACACAGAATAGTATTTTCAACCTTTTATTGTCATTACTTACATTTTTAGTGGAATTAAAATTGGAATTTCACCCACTTCATCCATGGAAATTATTGGTATATCAATGTATATTTTGTGGAATAAAAGAAAGCTTAGTAGATACTTTTATTAACAAGTTTTTAGTTTTAAAAATTTTCTTTGATGTATGTAGTTACATAAAAAATGCATGTATATATCTTATTATATCCAAGACATAGAATAGCTCAGTAGTTACTTAAATATTATTTCTATTGTCTCCATGTAAATGGAAAATGTTGTAACAAATTCTATGTTCTCTTGTTGGCAAAAATTGTTCATTAAAGCATATTTAGTATGGGTCAAAAGCAATATTTTATCTGTTGAATCAATAGGGGTAACATTACCACTAGCATGGAGTACCATAGAGTACCATATATTGTTATAAATCTACATAAGAAACATTTGTAGTCAAACTTTAGTTTTATATGTAAAGAAAGCACACATGGAAGCAAGAATGAAGAAAATGTCTATAAAAACTTAAAGAGAGAAAATGATTTTATAGTTGAAAAATCAAGTCAAGAACATCAACATGAACTAGTTGGAAGATCATTTTCAAAGCATATATATACATGTATACACTCAAACATTGATATCCATTGAGTAGAATACTTTTTAAACTTTCCATGCATCGGCAGCTTAAAATCATCTAAAAGGCTAAATTTTGGTCAAAGAATTAATTCTTCTCAAGATCCCAAAAGGGCTAACTTTTAGTTATAAGAATGTTAGGCCTGAGTATCCATAAAGAAAATGTTTGGCCTAAGAAGGCCTTGATATATATATGTATGTATGTATGTATGTATATAGCTAGGCAGTTACATTAGAAAATGTGTTTTTGTTATATGCTAATTATCATGACTTTGATTTGTTTAATGGATATTAATCTAAATATAATAAAGTGGCAAATAGGAACCAAAGAAAAATAAAAGGAAATATGGTGAAGCATATCTCCTAATTTATTTGAAAAAAAGTATTAAGATGCTCACTTTTCTTTTCTTTTTTTTGTTTTTGGGTAAAACTAGATTAAAGACGTTCACTTAAAACACATAGAAACAAATGTTTTAGCAACATTAGTTCTTAAAAGCAATTAAATAAAATAAATTATGGAGAAGTACGGATAGACCCAATGCAGAAATTTGATTCCCACTGTACACCTATAAGCATTCTATATGTCAAAAAACCACACCTTATGTGGCATCAATTCCGAGCTGGCACCTACCCAAATGTATTTTGAGCCTACAAATTTTGACCTTAGGCTGAATCGTTATTCTTTCAATTGCAGGTATGAGTGTATAGAATATGGGTTTTTGACCTTTTGAATGCTTATAATTCTGTAGTGAAAATTAGAAATCTTCTTGGACTTGTTCCTACTTCTTCGAATAAAATTATGGAGAAGTACGGAATTGACATTTACCCCAAATTTAGTTTGGATATACAAATTCTGACACTGGGATTATTGATCATTCTCCCATAAAACTATCCATAGAATCTAATATTTATATCACTTTACAGTACTTCACCTCTTTTGATAGTTTTCCTTATTATAATGTTAAGAATTTTCCAAAAAGCTGTTATTTCAGCTTTCCTTTTTGCTTTTGTCACTCATTGGTTTTCCATTCTTGTCTAAACTAGCTAAAAGACCTATTGATTAGTCTTCCTTTTACAATTGGCTAGATCCTCTTTATTAAAACCAAACAACTGTCCTGTCAAAGTAATCATTACCAAACATAGTTTATCTAATTCCGGATCTGCAGCACCTTTTTCTTCTGCACTTGCATTTATTCTTAGTTTCATTGACAGGATGAATAAGTGCAAGAAAAAGTCAAGTAGATCTGGGACTCGGTTAATCCAATCATATAGTTAAGTTTTTTAGGCTGCGTTTGGAATCCGTGTAAAATGAAAGAGTGTATGAACTAATGAGGTTTTACATTGATTTAATCAATGTAAAATTATACTTCATCCAAACACACAAAAAACTGAATCGAAATATAATTTTATATTAATAATAATTACAATACCCTTTTTCAAATGCATACAAAACTGAATCGATATAAAATTTACATCAGTTATTCATTTACATCACATCCAAATGCAGACTTAACAACAAATAATAACATAATGTTTCATCGCTATTTCCCAAAGCTAAGATTGAATTACTCTCCATTGAAAATAAGCTGTGGGCCGACGACTGTAAGTAATAATCATGAGTTATTTCTACTTTACAGTAGAAGTAACAGCAAAAGAAGACTCACCTGAATATTGACAAGTGAAAATGGCAGCAGTATTAATTTTTTCCAAAATTATTAGCTGGCTGGTCACCGCTTAGTGCTTACTAAAGTGGAAGATGATGAAGAACAGCAAAATCAGTTCTGGCATCATTCAGTGGGTTAAATACTTAAATGTCTGTTGGGTCGAATGTTTTTTGACCATATCATCAATTTTTTTATACTATTTATTTAATGGGTTTGGAGTTGGACCAATCCATCCTAGCCTCCGGATGATGGATTGAATGGTTCAATCGCATCCGATTCAAGGACGGTTTAAAAACACTGGTTTGTTTTGAGGGTTGGGTGTTGGGAGTAGAAAACCACAACAAATAATTGTTGGACTGTGGAATCAATAAGCATTCAATCATTCTAATACACATGATCAAAATTGCAATAAAATTTTGATCTGTTGTTAATTAAATTAATAAATCCCAACACTACTATCCATAGCCATTTATTCTCATTTGTTTTTAGAGCTTCTACATTCCAATCGTAAGATATGTTTCTTATAAAAGTAGAAAACAAAACATAAAAATAGATAGAGTCTAGCTAGCTAGTTCTATATAGGGGATCAATAAACGAGAAGCATGAACAGTGATAAGAAATTCACAACTCAAAACAACCCACGTTGAAAGCCAAAAGCACCAAAAGCATAACTGGGATGGGCTATAGAAGAACTCCCAATGGTTTTGGCTATAAAGGGATTGACCATTCTGACTGAGTTAACAGCCAAGAATGTAGCTGTAGCTTGCGAGGAAGCTTCAACAGATAACTCATTGACTCGCTTGGAAACGTTCTTCTTGAGCTCTTCCATGGAAACCCTTAACTGTTCAAGCTCGTGCAAGTTCAGATCATCGATGGGTGCTTCCCACCAGACTTGACCCTGGTTCACTTTCTTCGATTTTTGGAGCGCCTCCCCTCGCTTTTTCTGGGCTTCCAACTGATTCAAGACTTGGGTGTATTGCCTGTTGAGCTCTCGCACATGGGCACTGTGACGAGCATCCACCAACGCCGGAGTACCGTCGTCCGGTTGCACTGGTTCTAGGGTGAGAAACCGATCTATCACAGATTCAACACAAGAATGGCCAAAGGAGAACGCCTTCCCGGCCGGAGAGAAAACAACAATGGCGACCTCTGCACCACAGAGGATGCAAAGCTCGCTTGCCTTCTTGAAAAGCCCATTTCTACGCTTTGAGAATGTAACCTGTCGATAGTCTTCACGAACGATCCTCTTGATCTCAATTTTCTGACGACCCATGCTCGTCTTCTTCACCATGACTGAAGCCTGAAGGAACTTGCAAGGAAGAAGAGATAAAAAATGGGTAGGAGTGATCGATGATAGAGTTGCAGAGAGTCAAACGCCAATATATAAAAAGAGTTGTCCGGTTGATTCCTTAAGACTAGCTAGCAGCTTCTATCAAAGCTGTCAAGATTCATTGCTCTTAATTGTTTCCACATATAAGCTTTTATGCCATTTTTGGAAGTTGACAAGATCTTATCGTCTAATCTAGTCTCCCTAGTTGGCATTCTTAAATTTTCTGAATCTAATAATTGACCTTTTCTGCCCATATTGCCCCTAACACAAGTCTCAAATTTCGTATCTTACATGATTGATTCATGATATAAATTAAATTACAAAAATGTAATTTCATTAATTTGCCATTTAGATAGCCCAAATCAAACAAATCAAGCTTACTCTTTCCTGGTTAACGAAACCGTTTATTTCCTTCAATATTTAAAATATTTTTGGCAAGAAAATATAACCATATCTAATATGCCCACATCAAAAGAAAGAGTTCACACCTCTGTAGTCAGCCAGAGCAGAGAGTAAAGATTATTCGGACCGATCAAACCGGTTTTTGAAATTCTCGATTCTTAAAAATACATTTTGTTAATTAGTATGTATTTTAATATATCATATATTAACGTAAGTTGGCATTGAAAGATAAAATAAAATCGTTATTTGCTATTCTTTTATAATAGAATCGTAACTTAAATAATGAATAATAATGTTTCTTGGTTGGCATATTCTAATTGAGCTATTAATGGGTCGAATTTGGTGTAGCACAAGGTGACCCTGATCCGGAACTAACAAGAAAATTGTGTAGACCAGTCTTGAACCAGGGTCTATAGCATTAGGGTTTGAACCTAAGGATGCGTTTAGTTGTAATGCAAACACAAATATGTATGGTACATATTTACCCATTTTTCGGTTTATGAATGTAAACATGCTTCATATTTTAAATCGTTTTTGCATTCATCTTGTTTAGTTGAAATCGGTGCAAAAGTGTGGGCCCATCATTAAATGCTCCAACTATCTTATGCTCCAATGCTTTAACTTTGGTCAAAAAGTTAATTATCAAAAGAACACAAAATTGTATCTAAAAATTAGGTACAATAATGCTCTCTTTTCAGAGTACAAAAGTGCTAGAAAATACAATTTTACTCTGATAATCACTACTTTTTTACGTTTCAAACAAACGCTCGCAAAACCCCGGTTCACGTTTGTATCACAAACAAATGGAGCCTAATTAAGGCTCAGTTTGGAAGCAGTACAAATGCAAATATGTACAGAGTAAATACTTACAACATAATACAAAATATAAGGTTTTGCACTCTACAGATTTGCATTAGTACTCCTTCCAAACTTAGCCTAAGGCTGCTTTTGGAAACAATGCAAATGGATTGAAAATCCTGATTAAGGGTAAATTTGCACTCTGGTTTACTTTTGCTTGTATTTGGCAACATTACATTTATGTATTGACAAATGACAGACCAATGCATATTTACATTGATAATAAGATGTAAAAGTACATCAATAAAAAGAAGTAAATTTCTATTCAAGAGGACTTTTGATAAAAAAAAAAAACATATGCTTTATTTGAATTTATGTTTGCATCCATTACAGCTAAAAATCTGTTTGGTACGAAGGTAAATTTGTCGATGAAAAACTAACCCAATTATGCAATTTATATGAACCATTTTACACTCTATATATTTGCGTCCACACTTATTTGCATTGTTTCCAAATGCAACCTAACCAATTATTAATAGGATTAATCAAGTCTGACCCTATAAGACCATATTATATTTGACATGCATAATAATTTATAATATAATAATTTTGGGAAAATGTATGCTGCCGGAAATGGCCAATTAAAGGACCTCCCCCATACCATTGGATTATAAGTTTTTATAGTATGATGTTTTTGATATTATATTGGAAAATTTTATATACTCTAATTAAATGCTAAACCTGTTAATATATGTTAACAAAAGAAGCACTCTTTACCCTTTTAGTATAATGAAAATTACAAGATACAAATAAGCAACGTAAATTAAAAATGCAATTTAAAACAAAATATATTAATTTAAAGATTAATTAATATCCAAATCAAATTGTTCAAATACAATATTTAGTTGACATATAGAAAATATAAGGACTTCAAAAAACATCAATTTATTGAATAATATAACACATCTTCCAATGCAATTCCACTTAGCATAATTGCTGAACCTGTAAATCAAAAACATATAAATTGTTAGAGTATGCAAAGTAAATGAGATAACAATATAAAATGTATAAAAACAAGACATTCAAGAAGGAATCATAATTTAGCATTCTCATATCAATAAATGAATTATGGAACTAATAAATTAACCAAATCAAATTGAAACCTCTATGGCATGACAGAGTTAATGTAATCAGATTGGAGCACCCCACACTAGGATGATTGGTTTGGATTTAATAGATAAAAATGTAAAATATTCAGCTGAAAGGCTGTACCACAAGAAAGGTGATGGAAACAAATTAGATGAATGACTCTATTTAACCAACCAGAGGACTCTATTTACAAGCCATTGTAATTAAACTTCTCTGTTTAGCATGGATTTAACCAACCTAAAGCAAATAAATGACATTAACCTTATTCTTTGTTTGGTAAAAATATTAACCTTATTCATATGGTATAAATAAGTAATTTCTAAAATCCTTAGATTGTGAAAGCAAGCAACTACTTTCGAAACACCTAAAGTAAAATAAAATCCTACAAAACAAAGAAAGTAAAATAATCATTATAAATATTACTGCCTTGATTTCCATGAGGATGATGGCTTGAAGTTGATGAGTTCCAATGCCTATTTGGTGAGATACCTGGAGTAGCAGCAGCATTTGGATCCTATTAAGTTAGAGAAAATTTGATTAGTTTAGTAACATTCTATATATCACTTTAAAATTTTGGATATAAATATATGATACCTCTCTATTTGTGAATTGGTTTACAAGACTCATGATATCACTATGTTCATTAGGAAATCGTCTCTGAAATATAGATATAAAACCATTCATCAAACCCTCAAAGTTTTGAACTTTTTCCCGCAAAACTTGATCGTGTTGATCATGTTGTTGAGAGGATGAAGCCCCACTACCATTAAAAGTTAAAATCTTTCCCATACAACAAACATGTCCTTTCTTGTCTGGTCCTTTAACATGAGAAAGCGCATCATTCTTCCAAGAAGATCCTTGCTGCAATGTTTGTGAACTCTGTCTAGTGCTTTCATCATCTAAGCACTTTTTCAAATTTTCCTGAATTTTATGCACAAGTGGAGCATTAATAGTTTAGTAATGAATTGTTGTATTGATTTTCATTTTCAAATTTTGTTTTGAAAAGTGAATATTTCACTAATGATCAAAAAGATAAAACAGAGACTATTGAGTCAAAGGTTTCCATCATAGCCGATTACAACAATCACCATATAAATATAAGCTTATTACACAATAAAATCATCAACCCACAACTTACAAAATGATTAAAATCAAAACCCCAAAAGAGACTATTAATAGGGCCCATTTCAGCAAGGTTCTTTCCATCTTGGCACACAATTTTCAATAGTAATGATTGGTGTATGAACACTCAATCATTTCTCTCCTTCCATAAACACCAACATATTACTAGAGGGAGCATTTCCAAAGCACCTTTCCTAAATCGGGTGGGAGGGGGTAACCCAACTCATTCCAAACAATTTTTGAGCATAGAACCCTAAGCTATAATAGAACCTGCAATTTACTAGGGTATGACAACATAAATTGATAATGACCATACCTTTCCTTCTCAGCACATCAACGATAAGGACTTTAGATTGAATTCAAATTCCTAAAGCTCTGCTTTGACATAATTGAATTCAAATAAGACTTTAGATTGAGGATGGTTGATGGAATAGCTAAGAGTAAACTCTAATTATCCCCGGAACTAAGAAAACTGATAATAGCCTCATTCAGTTTTGCTTAGTGGGAGCCTTGTGCACTAGGCTGTTCTTGTTTGCTAAATCTTTGTTTTAGTTCGATTTGTTTGCATTCACGGGTAGAGCTGGAACTCTAACTAACAAATAGCATTGTTAATTGTCAAAATGAGTAAAAACCAATGATAAGAAGTTTGAAAAGGAGCCAAGCAATGTTTGATGTGAACTTGGGTATTTTTTGTCATCAAGGAATTAATGATGATGCTGCATAAAAGGAATAAAATTTGAAGGAAATAAGAAAAGAGGATTTTAATTGTGTAAGAAATGTTTAAAAGGGAAAAACATCCGGAGCTATTGGGCTAAAGCTACAAAAAGAAGCTTATTGTAACAGCCATTCAAGTGGCTGAAGCACCTCCATGTCCAGCCCTCCAAGTTTTCATTAAACGATGTTTTTCATTAAAGGGGAGGGATAGCTTCCCTGGATCATAAAGGTATTCCAAAAGTTGAAGACTTGTCCAAACCACAAAAATCTTCACCACTCTGCATGGACCATTCCCAGTTTACTGAAAAGAATAACTAACAAAATACCAATATGAGTGAGATTCCAATTCCCAAGTGACAACATTCTCATGGCCATGGTGTTATACACATCAAAGATGAATAAACATGCCAGGCAAGTCTCCAATTAATATTGTTATTCTGAAATTTATGACAGGCGGATCACATCCTATAGGAAGCAAAGAAGAACAATATGGTTTTGCTTTAGAGCCATGAACAGAAGAAAGAAGCTCTTTACCTTATTGATCTTGACAAGATTTTTCAGACCTTTGATGAGCTAATTCAAAGAGCTTCTGAGTTGGTTTCTGGAGATACCCAGAATCAGAAAAATGTGGATTTGGCTGTTCCAATTACTAAAATTGAGAGAGATACCATTGCTAGTATTACTGAGGAGAGCTTGGCCAAGAAAAAGCAGGATGAAGGGACAGAATTAAAAAAGGAATCAGATGTGGCCAAGGGTTTAGTCCGTAGCTATTCCTC